CTTCTTTTTCTTTACCGAGGTAACGTTGGTTTATAACATTATATAAATTTCAGGTGTACATCAGTGTATTTCAGTTTCTGTGTAGATTGTATCACGTTCACCACCCAAGGACTAATTACCGTCTGTCACTGTCCACGTGTCCCTTTACCCCTTTCGCCCTCGTCCTATCCTCCCTTCCCCTCTGCTAACCACCAGTCTCATCTCTGTATCTGTGTGTTTGTTGTTGTTTTTATCTTCCACTTATGAGTGAATACCTGTTTCTGTTTTAAGTGTTATACGCATTACCTCAAGTGTTTTTGGAAATAACTGCATAGATTTTTCTTTTTAGTGTTGACTCTAGTGATTACCTGTCAGTGATTCTAGAAGTTTGTTGACTTTCTACATCCCTAAATGGAAACAAACTTGCCAGTTCCTTAGCACATTAAGCTCCTTTCTATTATAATTCAGTTTCAGATTATATCCAATTTCTCATATTTTAAAATACTCAAATTTTATGATGGAGAAACTGCCAAGTTATCCTGTTTCTCCAATTTGTATTTCCTTTCCTTCTTGAAAAGATGGGTGTAGTTGATGAGACTTACATAAAGCACATGTTAATTAGTTTTCTGCTCTAAATATTAAAATTCTCTGTTTTTTAATACAGATGTGGAATTAGAAGAAGCTATTAGAAGAAGTCTTGAGGAAATGTAATTAAAGATATTACCGCACAACATCAAGTGACCTTGAAGAGACTCAAAATAATGAATTCTTGAGTTTGTTTTCTAAAGGATGCCAGAAATCTACTAGTACAAATGTATTTGAAAACATGCTTTTTTTCTTTTACATGTTCAAAATATGATATTTGCTTTGTATTTTTGTGCTATTTTGCAAAAATGTACAGAGGAATAGAATACATGTTAATGCAAATATAAATCATGTATTCTAATATAAGTATCACAGTTTCCCAGTTAACATAGAATTCATATATTTAGGTTAAAAGAATTTAAAAAAAATAGAAAAGCTCTTGACTATTGTTTATATGTTTCCCAAATAGCATTAGTTCTTTATCTGTACTGTACAGATGATTCTGGGTTTTTTTCAGGAGTGAAAATGAATATAAATAAAGCTGTCATAGCTCAGTTTCTCTGTAAATTCCACTTATCGTGGCACTAATATATAATACCTTTGAGATCTTTGCTTATGATTATTAGAAGAGAGTAATGGAAACTGATCATGGAAACAGATTAAAAATTTTACCAGCATGTTCTTTGTGGATTTCACTCAGATGTGTATTCCTGCTTTAATTAGATGAGCACATTGCGGGAATAAAAAAAGACCCCTAATTTCTTTGAAATTATTAAAAAGAAACCTTTTCCATTCCTTTTACCTGCTTAGACTTTTATGTGACTTGTATTATCTACTGTGTAAAGGGAATGATGTCAAAATATTTGCATAGAGTTAAACTTATTTTTAATAATATTAGTCTTTTTTTATATATATTTGTGTAAACATATTCTTCAAAAAATAATGTTGACAGTCTACTCAGGATTAATCTTCCTTAACCCTTTAAAATTTTTGTTTCATATGGAAAGAACTGTCTTCACTTTATTCATTAAATTGTCAGTTTTCCTACTTTGAGTATTACATATTTAATTTTTAAATGTCGAGGCCCTCATTTTGAATAATAAAAAATATTACATAATTAGAAGACTAAGAAGGGCTTGTCAAACTATTTGTGTGTATATGCTTCATGTTATTTGACCAGAAATGTCATCCCTAAAATTCTGAATGGTAATTACTTACCAAACTTAAAATTTTCTATAAATATAAATTTTTTTCTTTGACAAAAAAAATCATGGCTAGAAATTCTTTCTCTGCAACTAGATATTTTAGTGTGAAATAGCATTACTTTTTAAAAAAAATTACCGTAGTCTTTTCAATTCACATTGGAAACCATTTTGTGTTTTTATTTCTTAAGATGTCTGTTCTATACTACCTGCTTGCATTTTTTTTAAGTAGAACTCACGGCTTGAGAATTTACCAGTCATTTTTCCAAAATGACCACACTGTACTTTTAATTTATATGTTAAAGTGGCCAAGCAAGGCTTTAGGAGGCAGTCACTGAGCCAGACCTCAAAGACATCTATCTGCGGGAGCTTGCTCAGCAGTGAGGGCCACAAAGGACGTTCCAGAAAGAAAAGGGCTTAAGCAGATGTAGGGAAGAGGAAGAAACAGCACCTCTTTGCCAGAGGGGCCACACGTGGGTGTGATGTACACTGACGTTCTAGTTAGAAGCTTTTGTAGTGTGTATGGTAGAGAGGAAGTGAAGCTTGGCATTTGATAGGAAAGGAATATTTCACTGTGACCTTTAAGAAAAGGTAATTGGGTTGTTTAATGGTGTACTTAATCATTGTCACTGATTGTATTTCTACTTGTTAAGCAATTAAAAATCATTTTTAAATTACTTCATAATTTGAACTTGATTTAGACACAAGAGGGAGATGTACTCTGTGGATGATATTACAGAAAGTTATATGGATTATTAAATTATAAAAGTAAATGTTTCTAACATTGATAAAGATGCTTATCTTTTTGTTACATCATTCATTCATTCACTCACAAAGTATTTATTGAGTATTTGCCACGTGCCAGTGACTATTGTAAGCACTTGAGATGTGCCAGTGAGCAAAACATATCCCACACTCCTCTATGGAGCACACATTGGGGAATGAGGCGGGCTGGGATAGAGTGATGGAAGATAAGCAAGTATATCTGGTGGTGATAAGTGTAATAAAGAAAAACAGGGAAGGGAAAGATAATAAATAGTGTAGGCATGGGGGGCTTACTATTTTTAATATGGTGGCCAGAAAGGATCGTGCCCAGGTGAACTTGAGCAAAGACCTGAAGAAGGTGAGGGAGTGAGCCATGCAAGTATGTATGGGGAAGAGAATTCCAGGCAGAGGGTGAAAAGGTCTAGAAGGGAGCTTGATCTATCCATGGGAAAACAAGGAGGCTAGTACGGCGGAGCAGGATGAGCTAGGGCAGTAACAGGAGATGAAGACCTTGAGGCCTTTCTGAGGACCTTGGCTTTCACTCTGCAATGAGGAGCCCTTGAAGGTTTCAGAGGATAAGTGCTGTGATCTGCCTTATTTAGAAGGATTACTGTAGTTAGAGAACACGCCTGAGCGGCAGGAGCAGAAGCATTAAGACCAGATAGGAGGGTACTGCAATAATCCAGACGAGAACTTTTGGAGGCTGGGACTGGAGTGGCAGCCCCAGAATTGGAGAGAAGAATCTGGATATATTCTGAAGGTAGAGCTGACAGGATTTACTTACGGATTGGATCTAGGATATGAGAGACAAAGAATCCAGGATGATTCCAGAATTACTTAGTAGACTTTCAAACCATTCACAGAATGTCTTTGGATTCCGAGTTGGTTTCATGCTATGACAAAATATATTTGATGGCATCAAGTAATCCTCTACATTAATAGTTTATTAATATTTAGATTGAGTTCAGAGTTGTTGACAGGAAAAATTCACTAGAATTCAAACACACAAGATACTTATTTGGGCAATTAGAATTGCAATTCAGGGAGCAGAGATCCAGGTAGAAACGCAAATAATGTCCCGATTACAGGAGAGGGACTCGGGTTTACGGGGAAGAGGGAGGAAGATGAGCTGTGCTGTGTGAGGGAACAGTTTATTAGAGCTAGATGTGGTAAGGCTAGGTTCTTCAGAGACTGATGACTCGGTCATCGGCAATGTGCAGTTCCATCAGTCCCTACAGATGGGGTATTCTTGTGCTTTCACTGACTCCCTGGAGTGTCGGCAGTTTGGTGCAGTTTGGCAGATAAAACAAGACTGCAAGGCACTTCCTCTGAATGGCTGCTCTGGCTCTGTTTTAATATGGCTCCACTCTTGTCTTTCACAGAGGGGCCTGGTATCCAGGCTTAAGGGCCTCATCTCTGTTCAAGCATATGAAGAACTTTGATCTCAGATTAAAGGTGGTAATTCACCTTAAACTGTTATTATGTATCATTTTATGTGCCTTGCACGTTCTCATCCTTGCACTATGGGGCATGTAGCTATAATGAGATGGCAGCAAAGCACAAATTTTTAAGTAGATAAATTTTTGTACTCCTAGGCCTTTTCCACTTCCACTGACATTTATGGTGTCTGACCTAGTGGCCTACTGCATGTTTTCATTCTTAATAGATTTAAATAAACTGAGTGTAAAATGGCCTTAATTAATACCAATTATTTCACTCAAATTCCAACAGGAGTAATTTTTTAATAGAATAAAAAGTCAAAAATCCCTTCAGTAGAACAGGTGGAAATAAGGGAAATTCACTTTGCTTCCTACTACATCCAGCTAGACAGAAAAGTGGGGTAGCTTCCCCCCCCCCCCCCCCCATAAGCTTCAGTGGAGGTGTCCAGGCTTGCTTTATTCTCCTCTCAGGAGGGACGACCAGGACCGGTCAGGCAGGTTTAGGAGCGGTACTCGAAGGCCATCAGTTCCACAAAGGGACCTCTTGCATCAAAGGCCTTGACCGTTTCTGGTTTTGCTGTGAATTACTGGTGCCGGGAGAAAGCAGGCGAGGGTACCCTCACCCCCGTGGCGGGGATTTTGTGCTATTTTGCCAAAACGCAAAATAGCGGGGGCGACCTGGCGACTTTGGGCGGCCCGGAGGGCCGGGGCCGCACGGGGCAGAGGTCGGGGTGTCCTGCGGGGCTCCTCGGCGGTCTCGGTTGTGCCAGGGCCTGAGAGAAGGATCCGGCGACACGTTAGGGTCCCCCGTTTCTGCGCCCGTCCCGCCAGGTGCCTGGGGGCCGCCGGCTTCTCTCCGCAGGCCCGGCCCGGCGGCGCCTCCCGACCCCGGCCCGCGGCGGCGCGCCTGCCCTTGTTTGGCCACGCGGCGGCGGGGAGCGGCGGCGGGGAAGGCGGCGGAGCGGCGCGTCCTCCGGGCCGCCCCCCGCGGGCGTCAGAGGGGCGGGCGCCCCGCGCGGTGACGGCGACGCCCGCGGCCGCCGCGCTCCCCACTCGCCGCCGCGGAGAGCGCGGTGACCGCCCGCCGCCCCGCCTCGGAGGCCCCGATGGCTCAGGCGAGGATCAACGCGAAAGCCAACGAGGGGCGCTTCTGCCGCTCCTCCTCCATGGCCGACCGCTCCAGCCGCCTGCTCGAGAGCCTGGACCAGCTGGAGCTCAGGTGCGCGGCGGGCGCGCGGGGCCGGGGCCGGGGCTGGAGGTCGGGGGCGGCGCGGCGTCTGCGCCGGGGGCGGGGGGTCCCGTCCGCGCCGGGTTGGCGCGGGGGGGCGCCTGCCGCGGCGGCCACACCTGCGAGCGCGCTCCTGCGGCCGCGCGCCCGGGGGACTCGGGGAAGAGAGAAGTTCGGGAGCCGGTGTTTGAGGTTAGGGGCTGTGACCTCGCGGGTCTCCAGAACTTCGAGAACCTTCGGTGTGCCGGCGTGTGGTCTTCCCAGATGTCTTTAGTTTATTCTTTCCCACTTAGGCATTTTTAAGAGAGGCAGCAGCTTTAGTGGCCCATAATGGGAATGATCGGTTTCTTTGCTCGAGAACACTTCCGAGCAAAAAAAGACAAATTAAAACTCCAGGCATCCATCTGATAGCCAGGAGTAGAGAGAAGGAGGGCAAGCGAGGGCTGCGTGCTTCGCGGCCTGGAGGCCCCCGGCCCCTCTCCCCGCTGCTGCGCTCGGCCGCGGGTCTCCGTGTTGGCCGTGCGCCCCCTTCCCCGGGGCTGCGCCGACCCCTTCCTGAGAGCGCTAGTCACCGGCCTCAAGGCTGAAGATGGTCCCCGGTTTTCCCTCCTAGCTGATTAAGACTTTATTAATTAATATAGCGGGAGGCTTGTGTAGGATTTGTAAATATGTATCATAAATTTTGGAAAGACTTTTTTCCTTTAACATTGTATGGAAACTTTTATGTCTTTCCTATAAACAATTGTGTCGCTCAGGTTCCTGGGTAAATTGTGTGCAGGTGGAGTTAAATGGAAATCTCATTGAGGCACCGCTGAAACTGCACAGAATTGTTTCCCATAGTTTTCGCCGGGTTCTGAGTGAGCAACGGAGTGTGTAAGCCGAAAGTTGTAAGAAGCGACGCCTGTATGTCTTTGTCTCCATTAATGTAACAAAACAAGAAGAGGTGGCTGTTTGACCAGAAAGAGCATTAATAACCACAGTATATCTTAGCAAGTGAGGCATTTATGATTATTGTTACCCCGAGAGGAGAGTCAAAAAATGAGAAGTTCTCCACCCACAATGGTTTCATGGATGGCAATGGATAGAGAAACCTGAGCCAAAAACCCCGTTCTGGGGTTCTGCGCACAGCGAGGGAAACGGACCGGAGAGGAGAAGCGCTGCCCCCGGCTTGAGCCTCCTGCGGAGCAGAGCTAGAGACCCGGGCCTTGAGACGTCCCTCCCAGTGCTATCTTTCCTTTCATGTAGCAGCCCAACAAGGGACTCCCGGTCTCCCCCAGGTCTGCAGAACTTTGAGGGCGTGTTCTCAGCCGTCGGGAGTCTCTCTTCCCTCCGCAGAATAAAGGGATTCTTTTCTTAAAGAAATGAAGAGGATATTGTCCCTCCTTTCTTCACGCTGAGTCATTGTCCCCAAACGTGTAGTAACGCCTCATGTGTGGTAGGTACAGAGCAGTCAACTGCTCATCTTTAAAAGAAAGCCTCTGGTTTTGAGTAGTAGTATAGCCTAACGTTTGATTAATGTAAAATGAGTCCTGATTACTGTATCAAGTGATTAAAATATAACTTGCTGAATTAACCCTTGAGCTGAGGAGTGTCAACCTACAGAAACAGAAACCAGTTTAAGAGGCAAAGCGTTTGTTTACTTGGGATCAAAGGATCGCAGTTGGGGGAGCACAGATCCTGGGGAAAGGGAGGAAGGTGAGGTGAGTTGTATTAAGAGTTCACTGGTGCCGCAGGACGTCGGGCTGGGTTCGTACTTCATCGATGGGCGTGGGGCTCGATCATCAGGCAGAAGGCCAGCCTTGTGCTTCCCAGAGTGGTTGGCAGTTCGGTCAGCAGTGAAGTCCCGTTGCATCAGTCCCTACAAACGGGGTATTCTTGTTCTCACTGACTCCTCGGAATGTTGGCGGTTTGGTCCAGTTTGGAAGATCAAGAAAACAAGACTGCAGGGCAATTCCTCCACAACGGCCGCTCGGGCTCTGTTTTAATGTGGCTCCAGTCAAGTCCTCTTTCACGTTGGAAGGACCGATTAACATGTGTCTCATTGTTCCTTTTAAGGACTTGCATAGTAATTTTAGACTTTTGTGAGCTTTGTCTCTTCCTTTTAAAAAAAGTAATACTGGCTGAAAACTAAGGAGGTGTTTCAGCAGGTAAATAAAAATAGAGAAAAATGCTAGTGCTGATCCGTTAAAGACTGTTCGAAGGCACACGGGCAATGTCCCAGAGCGCTGCCCTGTTAAGGACTAGCGTCAGGCCCAGGAGAGCAGTATTTACAGAAAAACGTGATATTCATATGTAATTTTGCTCTAATACTTTAATTTCATGTTAAGGACGACTAATAACGCTGTGTGTGAGGTCGAGTCAAACAGTACGGTTGGTACCTACCTAGAAGCTGGCGTTCACTGTTCCCCAGCCACACTAGTTTTGTCAACTGTGGTAAAAACTTCCGTATGAAACTGAAAACAGACTTGTGCTAAATGCTTTATACCTGGAGAGTATGTGATGTTTAAAATGCTTTAAAATGTTTGGCAGCGTTCCATTTGTTTCTAAACTTTACCACACTAGTCTTTCCTTTTTGACTCCATCTCATCTCCGTTTTTGCTTCCTCCTAAAACTGTGATTGCTTTCTCTCCTGATTTTCGTGACCAGTTCTAAATGGTGTCTGATTTTTACATTATCAGTGGTTCAAGACACTCTGCTTATTATTGTTACTTTTGTTTCACAGCACAATTTATAAATAATACACGCTAACGTTTATTCACTTAATGGCTACTGACTATATGCCCGGCCCCAGGCCTTTGTGGAAGTTACTATTACCTCCATTCTCCAGATGGAAAATTCAGGCTTAGGAAGTGAAAAGACTTGTCCGCAGTCACACAGCTAGAACCCAGGAGGTTTGGCTGTGGAGCCTAAAACTTTATGCCTGAATTTTCTTTTAAAGTTAAATATGTCATATTTCAAAATGTAGGACTAGTATATGGATGGATATGTGATTCTAATGAAAGAGGTGAAAATTCCATTTAAATTGGTGTTTAATTCAGTAAATATTGAACACCCATTCTGTGCCAGGTATTGAGTGACTCCTAGAAGGTTCTGGATAGCAATGAAGATGTTTGGGACATGGGGTTGTGGAGAGTGGCAGAGGGGAGAACGACAGGACTGGGAAATTGGCTGTTCCCAGATTTCCCCAATGATCATATTGTGGCTCTCCACTCCTCTTATCAGCCCTTTGCAGCGGCTTACATGACAGCCGGGGAGCGAAGGGTTGGGGCGGGGCTGCTACGCATCATTTGGCTGAAAGTTTCCTGTTGCTTACAGTTTCTTGGGTGTGCCGATGTCACAGAAGTCACAAAACAAGATGGCATCCTAATTAATACTGTCTCACAGTCTCTAATGTGAAAGAGCGCTTTTCATATGCATAGTCATCTGAACCTTTACGGTAGGAGGAGGGCACATATTCTCTCTCCTAGAGATGAAGGAGCTGAGGCCCAGGGGCTTGAGTGGCTTGCCTGAGGCCGTACGACTGATGAGTAGCTCCCAACATTTAAACACCAGTCCCGTTTTTACAGCCAAGTGTCTCAGTAGTGAGTGTAACTGAATATTTTGGTGCTGATTAGGGAAACCTTTCCAAATCTACGCTGCCAAAGATACAAGTGGTCGCTGTGGTCTTCTCTTGATACAAGAGTATTGAATAAGAGATGGGACTGTGATTTTAAGAACCTGTTTTAGAAATTATTTCTTTCAAATAAATCTATGATAGCATTTGCCATTTTCGCTCCTTTTTATGAAAGCACAAATTCTTGTTATTTTTATAAGCCTGAGTTCACAGTGGTAACTACATAATAAACACCACGAAGCTGAAATGTGCCAACACCACTTCTAGGCACATTACACATATGAGCTCGTAATTTTCTTAGTTGATGCTGTCAGTCCCTGTGTTAAAGCCTTTACTGCTTTTCTTCATTCAGTCACAACCACCGTCTCATTATCCCTCTTTCATAAATGAGGACATTGAGGCAAAGAGAACTTAAGTAACTGCTCAAGGTCACACAGCTAGTAAGTGGCAGCCGGGGTTTGAACAGGTGGACGGAACAGTCACTGCATTTCCTCTGCCAGCCGTGTTAGCTCTGGTCCCCGTGGCCACAGGCTGGGGAGATGGCTGTCGGGCCTCTCCTAAGTCTCTCAACAGTTGTCCTTTTGCTATGAGGCTGCCGAGATTTGTGAGGTGCGAGACCTAACGACTGGCTGAGGATGTGTGCACTGGAGCTTGGTCCTCATCGGAGGATTCTGACCAGAATTTCCTTGTGTTCAAGCCTGCTTGGTTGTGATTTCATGCAGAGAGTTTTCCAGGAGCACAGCCCGGGCCAGCCTTGACGTGAGGATAAGTTCTTTCCCAATTTGGACATGTAGCTCTTCCAGGATCTGTTAGTAAAAACAGAACTGCCCCTCTCCGCCAAGAGAAGTGTTGTCAAATGCCGTGTTAAGAAACGTGAAGGATAAAGTGAGATGGTCCAAGGCTTGTCTCACCAGAGTTCCAGAAGAAAATAGTAGAATGGAGGACAGAGACTATTTGAAGATATAATGGCTAACAGTTTTCTAGAACTAATGGAAAGGTTGTAGACAAAAAGATTTACATATGAGTTGAATTTAAGGATACCAGTAGCTGATAAACAGTATAAATATTACTTAAATTAAGTAGAGATCTACATTCAGCTTTTTAAAAGAAAAATTAAAATTTGGTGTAGTCCATACACTGGACAGGTGTGCAGTGCTGAAGGAGGCATTGATTGCCTCCAGGGAGAGGAAGGGGAAGTTGCTAAGGAAAGAGTTCCTGCCAAAAGGTTTGGGTTGTGAAAAAGGATCACGCTGCAGACAAGGGTCAGGGATAAAGAATCCTTGTTCAGGAAGAGGGAAGCGCAAAGGAAAGGTCCGTGATGCCAAAAAAGCCCTTGGAATCTTTACATTTGAACAATGCATTCTCCCTTTGCTGTGAAATGAAACAGGGGAACATGAAAACATATGTAAGAAGTCCTGTAAAAGATAAACTCTGTTTGCACAGGGAAAATGCCCCAGTGGTCTCTGGCCTCAGTGGGGAAAAAACCCAAAACTGAAAAGTTCCATCTGGGGGCTGGCCCAGTGGCACAGCAGTTAAGTGCACATGTTCTGCTTCGGCGGCCCGGCATTCACCGCTTCAGATCCTGGGTGTGGACATGGCACCGCTTGTCATGCCATGCTGTGGTAGGCATCCCACATATAAAGTAGAGGAAGATGAGCACGGATGTGAGCTCAGGGCCAGTCTTCCTCAGCAGAAAAGAGGAGGATTGGCAGCAGATGTTAGCTCAGGGCTAATCTTCCTCAAAAAAAAAGTTCCATCTAATTTTTTCTATATTTGGTCTCATTTGATGACAAAATATCTTCTTCATAGGACTGATTTATTATATTTTTTTCTAGAGTGTCTCCTTTTAAACCGTTTTCCAGTTAACAACTCCATGAACTTCTGTTGTAACCTATTGTCATAGATGAAGCCTTCCTTTTTATCATAACATTCAGGTCTCTCTTTATCCTCTTACATTTGAATACAAACTCGAGTGTTGAAAAATTAATCTCTTCTTTCAGCATCTTCTCATTTACCAATCGCATGATTCATCTGTGTCATTGTTTGTGTTTATAGCGTAAATATTACATGTTAGTGTCCACTCAGTCTCTCTCACGGGTGCTGGGCCCTAGTTTGTCTGAGAGTTTGCTGCTGTAAAATGTGTAAGAATGTAATGAATGGCATTGGGGGAGGACCTGATATTGTATTCCTACTATTTTATAGAAGATTGTTTTTAGTTGTGTTTTCCAGCCAAATTTGTCACATAAGCTTCTTACCTGCTCTTTGCTTTTGCTGGCTCCTATAAACACAAAGTCCGGCATGCGTTTAGTGTCTTGATGTGTAAAGAGACCCTGTGACTCTGCAGTGTATCAGTGCTATTTTGGGGATAACAGGTGGGTGACTGTTGGGGAGAAGGCGTGTGTGTGGCTAGGGTGAGGAGGGGGTCCTTATATGGGCAGGACATGTGTTAAACCCTTGGTGAAGTTGTTCCTTCCCTGCTCACGTAAGGCAGCAATCACGGTGACATCTTCTGTGATCTTGTGTTTCTAAGACCTTCTGAGTACTGGGGATAGGTGTGTCACTATTTATCTTGCAAGAGTTGGCAACTTATTTAGTTTCAGTATAATATATAACAAGAAAGTGCCGTGGAAACAGAGCACTTTAAATATACTGGGTTTTTTCCCTCTTGCTCTCCTGAGCCCACAGCCCAGTAACGTGACTGGGCGTGTTCGTGTGTGTGTGTAGTGAGTGCATGTGTGTGTGTAGCTGGAGAAAGGAGTGCTTCCATAGTTGGATCAGGGCTTTATACCAAAAGCCTACAGAGGCATTCTCTTTAAATTCAGGAAAACACAAAGACACCCTTTCTCACCGCCACAGCTTAATACAGTACCGAGGACTTTAGTCAGTACTGCAAAGAAAGAAAATAGGAGCTCATAGGATTGAAAGGGAAGAGAGAAAACTATCATTTTTTGCAGATGATATGATCATCAATGGAGAAGAACCAAGAGAATCAAAAGACAAACCATTAAAATTAATGTGTGAATCACAGTTGCCAGTTACAAGATGAATCTGCAAAAACAGCATTTCTCCAACCAGCAAAAAGCAACTAGATAATGCAATTAAAAATATATTAGTCACAATAGCAGCAATATCCATAAAGGATCAAAACACTCAAAAGAGTCCACAAGACTACCATTAAGAATACTTCAGGGGCTGGCCCCGTGGCCGAGTGGTTAAGTTCACGTGCTCTGCTTCAGGTGGCGCAGTGTTTCGTTGGTTCGGATCCTGGGTGCAGACATGGCACTACTCATCAGACCACTCTGAGGCAGCGTCCCACATGCCGCAACTTGAAGGACCCACAACAAAGAATATACAACTATGTACCGGGGGGCTTTGGGGAGAAAAAAAAAAAAAGAATACTTCAGGGGCTGGCCCAGTGGCACAGCGGTTAAGTTCGCACGTTCAGCTTCGGCAGCCTGGGGTTCACCGGTTGGGATCCCGGGTGCAGACATGGCACCCCTTGGCAAGCCATGCTGTGGCAGGCGTCCCACATATAAAGTAGAGGAAGATGGGCACGGATGTTAGCTCAGGACCAGTCTTTTTCAGCAAAAAAGAGGAGGATTGGCAACAGATGATAGCTCAGGGCTAATCTTCCTTAAAAAAATAAAATAAATAAAATAAAAAAGATATAAATATGAGAAAGGTAAAATGATAACATTAACAGAAGGAAATGTAGTAAAATATCTTAGGACCCAAGGGATGGGGAAGAACCTGAAACAAAACTTCAAAAGCATAAAACATAAGGCAGAACAAAACCAAGAAAAGAGGAATTTGTTCTCTTCAAAACAAGGATCTCTGTTCATGAAGGACATCCCGGAGTACGTTCCTGTGTGACAGGATGGGAGAAGATGGCTGCAGTGTCTGGAACCAACAAGGGATTAATACCTTGAATACACACACAGATCAAGAAGAAGACAGTAACCCCTGGTTAAGAACGAAAAAACCAAACAGGCGAAGGCTGTGAACAGGCTAACAAAGATGAAGGAGTCGGCTAAAATTATTAGTAATGAAAGCGGTGCAAATTAAGTCCTGCGTACCACTGTACGCTTAGTAGACTGGCAACGGATAGAGGGAAGGTGCCGAGTACTGGCAGGGCTGTGGGGACTCTTCTGCTTTGCTGCTGGGAGCAGGGCCTGGTTCAGCCATTCTGGAGAACAATCCTAGTCTCGAGTCAAGTTAAGGGTCCACATGCCCTGTGTCTCTGCATTTCTGCCCTGGGGTGTGTCCTAAGGAGACTCTTTCAGGTCCGTAGGGGACATGTATTCATTGAAGTGTTATGTGTGGTGAGGAAAAGCTGGGGACGAGGTGAGTGTCTCCACGGGGGAGCACAGGGAAGATCGGCGGGTCCCCACGTGGAGTGTTTATCCTTCAGCAATTAGAAGCTGCTGATTAGAGGTACACATAGGAGTGGACGGTTCTCGATAAAATAATGCTGAAGGAAAAAAGAAACAGTGAGATATAAGTGAGTTGAAAATAGACAGATTTTGTAAGAACAAATACAAATAGATAAACGCTACATAAAATGATTGCCCTGTGAGTGGGAGGAAAATGGGAGCTGGGTAAGTGAATTAAAAAGAATAGAAAAATTAAAGAATAAAAAATAAAAAGGAATAAAGAGTTTTTGAAAAATGTTGCTAATGATCTTTAAAACTTGAGTTGGATTGAAGGATAGCGAGATGAGGAAGACAGACCTTCCACGGCGTAACCGTTTTGTTTTCCCGATCTGTGTAGGGTAGAGGCTTTGAGAGAAGCAGCAACTGCTGTGGAGCAAGAGAAGGAAGTCCTCCTGGAAATGATCCACAGTATCCAGAACAGCCAGGACATGAGGCAGATCAGCGACGGTGAGGCCCGTTCCACAGGAGGGCTCGACTTTTACTCACTCCCTTAAGGGACTGGGACAGCGTGGGGCAGTTTTTGCTTCACTAGGCTTCCACGTTTAGTACGAGCAGCAGACAGCAGCTGCAGCTGTCCGTTATTGCAGGAGCCACTTACCCAGAGATCATTGTTGCAGCTGGAAGTGACAGAAAAAGGCCTGCAGGCTCCAGAAGAGCCAGCCCCAGGCAGTGAGGCCCTGCCCTCGACCTCAGGTTCACACTCCTAACTTCAGTTCTTTAGGCGTTACTGGACTGTAGAAGATGTAAAAGCAGAGGGAAAGGTGAGAGATAAAGGAGAGAAGACAAAAGGAGATGAATTGAGGTGTAACTTAAGGACGGAGGGAGGAAAATGCAGAGAAAATAAATTACAATCCAATAAAACCCCATTAATGTAAAATTATGTGATCAATTTCATATAAAAAGCATGACTGACTGCCCGTGGAGGAACAGGTCACTTGTGATTTTCTTTCATTGGCAATAGTCTTCCTGATTTGGCTCCTTTGGTGCCCGCTAGGTCAAGCTAGTGGGCCAGGTAGCTGGTGGGGAACGTGTGCACTCTCACCCCCAACCAGAACTGTTCCACATCCACAGTGGGGTCAGGTCTAGCCTGTCTTTTCACCATCCTGACCAAAGATGAATGAATTTGGGAGGAAGTTACAGGGCAGTTCAAATAGGAGATTGCTGACTTCTTCATGTAAATAATGAAATGTTGGTACAGCGTCCTGTGGGGGAGGAAGACAGTTTCCCTGCCCTCTAGGTCCTTCTGGCAGGTCTAAGAATTAAATTGACATGAGACAGGACAACGGGAGAAAATCAAACAAAGTTTATAACATGTATACGTGGGAGAAACCCAGGAAAACGGAGTAACTCACCAAATAGCTGAAGCCACCACCTTAAATACCATCTTCAGATAAAGGTAAAGGAAGCTGTTGGGGTAGTGATTTGGGACTTCTGAGGGGAGGAAGGTAATTCACATGGAGATGGAGGAGCAAATGTTTGGTGAGCAGATGTTTGCCGTGCCTTGCAGAGACAATGGGACGTGAGACAACTTTGATCAAATGGGCCTTGCCAGGTGCCTTCCTGTCTACACGCCTGGAGTTACCTATGGTGTTACCACCTTCCGGGGACAGGCCTTCTATCTGCAATTTTTTAAGCAGTTACATGGGAAGGTCAGAGTTTCTTTCTGAGTCTTTTGTTCTTAAAAATAAGCCAAAGAGACACATTTTGGGGTGGCACATTCTGATCCCCCGCAGCCCTTTTCCCACTGTTGCCTCTTAGTGCTGGCCAAGACAGACTGTGGCCTCTTTAAATTCATCTGGAAGGGATGAAGTCAGTGTGTAATTTTGAGGCCAGCTTTTGCTCCACTATTGTGGCTATGTTTTCTCAGCCAAAATTGAGGCATCGGATTCTGATATACATGCAGAATATGCCACCCCAAAACATGCCTCTTTGGCTTGAGGGTTATTTTGAGCTGATTATTTTTGAGAAACTGCAGACACAACAGAATCTCTGAAAACCGAGTAGAAATTACCCTTTTGTAAGAGACATTTACGTTTATAAAGGAAACCTCCATTTGTAAAGGTATCTCCCTCTCTGTACCAGGAAGAGAAGGATACCTCTAAATCACAGAAACTTATTGGGGGGGAGAAGCCACCTACTACTAAATCTGCATCACCATGTGACCCTTGAGAATCGGGCTTCCATGTCACCTCCCATAACTGGCCTCCCTCCCTCCCCAGCATCTTTGTCTTTAGCTGAAGATGGTATTTAAGGTGGTGGCTTGGGCCATCTGGGAGAGTTACTCAGTTTCCCTGGGAATCTGCCATGTATGTATGAGGTATACATGTTAATAAACTTCTGGTTTTTTTTTTGTTAATCTGTCTTTTATTACAGGGGGTCTCAGCTAAGAACTAGGAAAGGTAGACAGAAAATTATTTTTCCTCCCTACGTGCACATCCTTATGGAGAGACCCAGGACATCTCACCTCACAAAACCTAGTTATGCTCGCTGTTCACTCTGTTCTGGCTTGATCTCCGTCCAGTTGCAAGTGCCTACCTGCCCAGACTTTTGCAAACGTGACAGCTGGAGGAGTCATCTGGTCTCCCATGCATAAAGACTTCAGCTCACTCTCTGTAATCTGATACACTTTAGCAGTTAATCCTACATACTGTAGTTTTAACCTTTACCTTTAAAAAATTTATAGCAAAAGTGCTTACAGAAAATAGACTTAGTCACAAACGAATGCCTTCGCGTTCTTGACATGGGTAACTTTATGTCTCATACTGATTGATATTTCAAACTTTTTATGTTTAGGAGAAAGAGAAGAATTAAATCTGACTGCAAACCGTTTGATGGGACGAACCCTCACCGTTGAAGTATCAGTAGAAACCATTAGAAACCCCCAGCAGCAGGAGTCCCTAAAGCATGCCACCAGGATTATTGATGAGGTGGTCACGAAGTTTCTGGATGATCTGGGAAATGCCAAGAGTCACTTAATGTCGCTGTACAGCGCGTGTTCATCTGAGGTGCCGCCCGGGCCAGTTGATCAGAAGTTTCAATCCATCGTAATTGGCTGTGCTCTTGAGGATCAGAAGAAAATTAAGAGAAGATTAGAGACTCTGCTTAGAAATATTGAAAACTCTGACAAGGCCATCAAGCTGTTAGAGCATTCTAAAGGAGCTAGTTCCAAAACCCTGCAACCAAGTGCTGAAAACAGATTTAATTAGTTCTCAAACCTAAGAGCACTTACAAATATGGAGGTAAAAATGATAAAATACTATTTGAAGTGGTAACTAGTTCTTTGTTAGGCAGAACAACTCATTAGATACTGATAGTTGTTTTAGATAAGGAAAATATGCCAGTGTCGCCAGTTTTGTGAATAACAGGTAAAACCAGAAATGTTTTAATTATCTTTCTAGAACTTTTTAGATTGAAGTCTTGTCCTGTACTAGGATCTAGCACCTAATACATATATTTTTTTACTTTCCTGTGGCTGAATCCTTAGATGTGGGGAGAAGTAAGTGCTCAGCTGGGGCACCACTGTCACTCTTCCTTTCTGGGCCCGTCTGGCTCGGAGACACACGGGCGCATGGGCGTCTGGTGGACTAGCCATTCTTTACCTTAAGCAGCACACACTTGTACACATCTCCTGTTGACCAGGCAGCAGGCTCGAGGGATACAAGCAATCACAAAATGAGAACCTTGCCCTACATCTTGTTTCACTCCGTAGTTTTTTTAGACATCTGTATCAAATTACTTTCAACTTAAAGATTTATGCCTCTCATAATGTGCATGTATTTCTTGATATACGTGAAAACATGGCATAAAATGTGGGAGAATTCACCTCTAATTTTACCACTGTGAACAACTATGTAGCTACTTCATCTTTTTCCAAATGCATAATTTCTCTACATTTTTAATCATTACGGAAATACAGTGTTGTACCTTGCCTTTAAAAAAAGAGTTAAGTGCAGCTATAAAGTCTGCTTAATTGTCAACTTTTCAGCCTCCGTTCTGTGTAGTTGTAAAATTCACTTTCCCCTTCCCCTTACTGGACGTATAGGTTATTTCACTTTCTTGCTTATTCCTGCAACACATTATGTACATAGAGTATTTCCCTTCTTTTGTTTTTGATTTTCCTTGTGTAAATTCCCAGCAGTGGGATTTACTGGGTCAAAGGGATACATTTTCATGACTTGACATATTACCAAATTTTTTTGTATAAGAGTTATATCAATTTATACTGTCTTCAATAATTAAAATGTAGCTATTACCCCGAAAGCTTTCCAGCATTGAGCATTGTTTTTTTCTAACATTAGACGTGAAACACCTTAATTTACTTTGCATTTTGTTTACTAACAAGGTTGACCAATGTATTGATTATTCCTTCATGTGTGACAACTGAGGCGACTATCGAACACTTTTATTTATTCAAAGTGACGAGGGCCATCGATACATAAAAACCTCAGCTTCCCCCAAGACCACTTCAGAACGAGTGCATCAGACTGCATTTTCATTAGAACAGTAACACTTTCACACTGGGAAGAGAGTCCAGATGCAGATTGATTTTATATTTATCTCTCTCAATGCAAACAACATTGAGATTCATTTTCTGGACAAAAATGCCAAATTAGTCCCTCTTCATAAAAAGCAATTACAATCTAAGCCATTCATGGTTTTGGTTGCCAGCCAAAGACTGCCTCATTTAAATCTTTCCATTTCTCGGGAAACCTTAATTCTCACTGGTAACTGGGGCAACGCTGTTTGATTTCAAGTCAGTGGACTCTGAGTTGCTACCCTCAGGTTCACTGTCAGATAAAGATTTTGTGTGTGCGCCATCTTTTTCTTGATCAGTTTTTTGAAAATTAAGAAGCAGTCCAGTTTGGCTCAAGTTCTCGAGGTCCGTCAGCATCCGTAAATCCCTTCCGCTGGGGGAAATACTCCCCTCCCCCTCGCTCCCTGTCAGCCGGGACTACTTCTACTACACAATTCTCCGGCTCTGCCTCCTCTACCCTTGTATTCTCCGCCGTTGTTTCTTTCCCATTTTCTGTGATGGAGTTTTATTGGAGGCCATCGTGATCACGGACCTGAAGAGCTGGCATCTGCCGTCTCCAAGCGGCTTCCATCCTGGTCTGCAGCATCTCCCCCATCTACCAGCAGCTCGAGCCACATTCCACGGGTGGGGACCTCAGTGTTGATTCTTAACATTTATTTTTGTTTATAAGAATGGAAGTGTAATTTATTTTGACGTGGTGAAACTCCTGAGAGTCATGTTTTTACCTTCATTTAAACTGGTGTTTTTTTTTTTTTTGGTGAGTAAGTTTGGCCCTGAGCTAATGTCTATTGCCAATCTCCCTCTTTTTGCTTGAGGAAGATTGTCGCTGAGCTAATATCTGTGCCAGTCTTCCTCTATTTTGTACGTCAGTCACCACCACAGCGTGGCTTGATGAGCAGTGTGTAGGTCCACATCTGGGATCTGAACCGGTGACCCAGGGCCACTGAAGCGGAATGCGTGAACTTCACCACCACACCATCAGCCCAGCCCCTAAACTGTCATCTTTTATCTAGATAAAGATTTGGACTATAAGGGAATTGGAGTATGTTTTGCGGTATGTTGACACGTTCCCTGACAGCCCCCTCCAATTCCATACCATTCCTAGCGTGTAACATACAGTCTTAGGCTGGCCCTTCTGCCTCCTTCATGAGCACTGCTTCCCAGCAGAGTGTTCCCATCCCCGCCCTGGCTCCTCCTCGCCCGGTGTGTGGCCAGCAGGACCCCCCGCGGAGTTGATAGAAGAGCACTCAGTGTTCATCCACCGAGGACAGAGTGACCGTGCTGCCTGCTTAATGATCTGCCACATGCAGAACTGACCCTCCTGGTACTGTCATGTGGGAACCCCTGACATTGAAAAAAAAACCCTGGGGCCGGCTTGGTGGCTCAGCGGTTAAGTTCGCACGTTCTGCTTCTTGGCGGCCCGGGGTTCGTCAGTTCTGATCCCGGGTGCGGACATGGCACCGCTTGGCAAAAGCCGTGCTGTGGTAGGCGTCCCGCATATAAAAAGTAGAAGATGGGCACGGATGTCAGCTCAGGGCCAGTCTTCCTCAGCAGAAAGAGAAGGATTGGCAGTAGTTAGCTCAGGGCTGATCTTCCTCAAAAGAAAGAAAGAAACCCCTAAAGCTTTCAGAGGGATGGGAAGGGGAGAGCTGACAGCCAATGTGAACTGGTGGCTTCCAGCCCGGCTTCCCGGCCAGAGCATCACTACGTCCTCCAGGGGGCACCATTCACACTGTTGTACACGAACCGCGCCCTCCCTGTAATACAACATAGTCGGCCAAGTGAGGTGTTGTGCATAGGGGCACGAGCGCAGGCGTGGTCCCTGGTACTCATGCAGCTCAGTCCAGCGCTCTGCTCAGAATGCTTAGAATCCACCCAAAGAGGTGATCAGTTAGTAGAACTCTGCTTCAACATTTTAAAATTGGAAAGCATGAGTTTACTAACCGCTCAAAGTAGCAGAGTAAGGATCTGGCAAGCTAAGTGACATGCACTGATTTTTAACTAGGAAACGTCCATGCATTTGTCCCTTTCAAATGACTTGTAATAAATGCTGATATATTTGGAGTACATGTATGTGATAATGCTATTTTTGAAGGCTGGATTTCTGTGTGTGTCCACTCGTACACCAAGCAAGCAAAATGACATGAACCTTCTGCCTAGGGATGCGACCACATTCCTACATTTTCGATCATGAACTTGAGTAAACAACTCGGACTGGCTCACACAAATCTTAATTATCCAGTCACACTGCTCCACGCGGTAGCAGGCGCGCTCCCCTGGCGTTCGGCGGGCGCTGTGGCCCCGGTGGCGGCACTCACCGATTTCAGTATCTAGTCCAGCTTTTATCTGTAATATTCCAGCGTAATCAGAACAGGTTAAGGCGGGCACCAGTTTGTGTAGGAATTTGACAAATGGGTCAGAAGACTGAAAAACCTGGCATTGGAAAACTGGATCCAGGGAGGATTAAAAATACATCTTCCCAAATGCAATTGGCCGACCTCGGGTCCGAAGATGACACAACCCTGGGACAACACAGAACACCCAGAGGGGAAGCTTTGCTGCAGGAAGACCTGGCGAGGGCGCCCCACCCCACCTCTTCCCAGCAGAGGGCCGGGCCCTGCCCTGTCCTCCCCGCTGTGATGATGCCCCTGAGTTAGGAACTTTAAAGGAGATACAGCATGCAAGGGGCTCCGCATGGTGGCTAACACAGAAAGCGCTTGTTAAATAAATTTGAACTATACAGTTATTTTGTAAACACAGGACTATGTAAATGTATTGTGGGGGCAGGGCAAGAGCCTCAAAACAAGACAAAACAAGTTTTCTTTAACACAGATGGATACTGATAGAAAAGAAACTCAGTTTCCAAGGCAAAATTATTTAAGCCACAGTGCTACTAAATTGCATTAAATATCCACTGTCAATAAAAAGAGTATGCTAAATGTTGGCAGAGTATCTGAAACTGAAAGATTTTTAGGTTGTTTTGTTTTGTTTTCTTTGGTGAGGAAGATTGTTGCTAACACGTTGCCAATCTTCTGCTATTTTGTATGTGGGATGCCACCACAGCATGGCTTGATGATTGGCATGTAGGTCCACACCCGGGATCCAAACTTGAGAACCCCAGGCCACCGGAGTGGAGTGCATGAACTCAATCCCTACACCACTGGGCCAGCCCCTGGTTATTTTGATTTTTAAAGAAGTCACATTAAACCTTTTACTATTTGGTTCCACACTGGTGAGACATCACACATATCACACAAAATTCTAGCTTTGAAACGCATTTATTTTTTTATTATTATTGGAATTCATCTTTCGTGAAACTGTTATTAAGCAGTATATTTTAAATTAAGCTCGAGGGTATAACTGCAACCCAATAGCAATACATACAAGTGGTTTTCCATTCAAATTTACAAAAGCATTATTTAGTAGTAACAAAAATATAGACGGGGTTCAGTTTTCCTTTTAATCCAAAGTTTTTATTTTTAAAAGACCATTTACCAGCGTCCACTGTAGCTATCTCCAGAGAAGAAAAGGAGCCTTGCCTAACACCAGTGACAACGGCCAAATCACCCAGCGACCTGGGAGGAGGCGACTGGGGATGCCCGAGTCCCCTGTGGTTTTGCATATTTTCCGTTAGCAAATAAATTCACCTGTGTGATGGGCTGACATGTCTGAGGGTGAAACCTAAAGAGCGACACTAGCACACATACTTTAACAGTTTAAACGGAACACAGCCACTGTTCATTAGGAGACTGTGCCACGTGGGACAAATCTTCACCCGGTCAGTTCATTCTGTTTTCAGACAGACGGACACCTGAATGAGACAGTCATGGGAGCACGGCAGCAAGTAACCAGTAACTACCTGAAAGGTTTCAAAAAGGACGTGAACCATCAGCAATATCTTAAAGTAGTTCACTTCCAGTTGGGACGTTAGGTCCTGAGGCCAGTTCCCCATTCTGTGATCTTCAGAGCAGGTCCCAGGCCCTGAGTCCCAGGCACAAGGGAGCACTCTAGCGAGAGCTCTTTCCAGGCCAGTGTCTGGAACCACCATCCCACTGCGGTCCACGAGGCAGGGGCTCAGCCTCTTTTTGTCGTGTTAGTTCTACTTTATTTTGATCAAGTACATACGTGCTGTCAACTTTGGGCAGATAACAAGGAAACCATTTAGCCCGGCTTTATTTAACTATGCTGCCTTATACAGGCTATTCTGCATGCTGTTTAATTCCACAGACGGACTGAAAGAGGGAGAGGGACCCTGAGGAACCCTGACACACGGCGGTTACCCCACAGCTACGTCTGTGCTGCGATTAGCCGTCACGTGAGATGGTGCATCGGAGCCCAAGGGCACAACCTGGAGTCTCAGACAAGTTTCTCTTTTGCATCTACAGTCCATTAAAAATTAGCAGTGAAGTTATTTAAAAGATTTAAGGGCGGGGGGGGGGGGCGGGGGGGAGTAGAATTAATGCCAATTTTGAAAGTTTTAGAATTAAATTGAGAAAGTAACCTGCGACTTGTGGCTGATTTTCAGGTCTACCTAATTATTTAAAATGACTAATTATGGTTAGGTTTAAAATACAGAACTGCAAATTAACAATTCAAATGTGACAAAGATCTCTCTTCGGTTCTTGTAAAAAAGAAAAAAGGACAAAACTAAGTATGTAAAACTATAATACAAATATCACGAGAACTGCAACCATCATCAGAGATTACATTTTTTATATAGAATAAC